CCAAATCTAGAGACTTTTTTCTGTGTTAATGAAAACTTTGGCAACATAAAAGCACTGAACTCTGTCCTCCTGTGCGAGCCGATCATAAGCCTGCCTTCCTCTCTGCTGTCATCATATAGAGCAGGCTGCCTGCGCTGCAGCAGAGAGAGTAAACCTTTCCACTTTGAATCCAGATTGGAAATTAAATGTGCAAAGCTGCACCTAATCCCTTCCTAGATTGCAACATTGAATCATGAAAATAATTTTTAACTGACACTGTTTTCTGACATAGAATAACTGCAGTTTGGACCCACAACTAAAGGGCTGGTTATCCTCCCGCTGCAGTGTGCCGCAGTTATCTTGTCTCAGGTAGGACATAGATATTTTCGATTCATACCCAATTTTGTAACGTGGTCTGCGTTATGTTATTCCACTCCCCAACGCAAGAGGGACAATCAGGAACTAGCTAGGATTGTGGGTGTCCGTGAGTCGGTTTGGTTAGCTTGTTCGCCGTCTACAACCCCTCATCTAACGCCGAACGACGCACAGTTCACCTGTGAGTGTTCCCCATAGACTGGCCGTGGCGCTGCGTGTTTTGGCTTCAGGTGCAAACCAACAGACCGTCGCATAGAGCTACAAACTAGCATCCTGCACGGTGCCTGGAATAGTGTCTGAGGTGTGCCAGGTGTTGTGGAAGGCACTACAGCCAGAGTTTCTGCCATTAGGCACCAAACAGGAAATATGCATAGTGTAGAGCAGATGTAGAATTGACCAATCAGAGGGAGACGGCCTGGTTTCTGAGCATAAACCAGGCTTAACACAGGTTGATGTTGTTACCAGACACATAGCCATGGCGGGGCAGAGGCCACACAGCTTGCCAGCGAGGCGTTAGACACAGCTTTTTTTGCTAGTGGGAAGAGAGCCAAACGACGATTGTTAGCGGGTCGACCCGTGTTTGAAAAACACACGTTAACCTGGAATTTTCTGTGGGAAAGAAGAGGCTTAGGACTGGTTCTGTTTTGAAAATCCAAATAACCTAATGCTTCACAGTTTAAGCAGCAAAAACGCGCCTGCTGCTTCATTTCTGTACAAGTTTAGTTCTGACGCGCAGCTGAAGCATCTTTGCTGCTCCAGCTGTGCGGTCAGAAAGTGGGTCTGATGCGCGTTGGGCGGAGCTACTCTATCCTTTATTTACCTGCAACAATGGCAGCTATATTAGCTGTGATCAGTGGGTAAAAAGTAGTTTTAATATGTTTTTAAGTGAGAAAATCCACCTGAAAAATTCATCTGTGCAGTCAGTTCATCCAGATTACCATCCTGCCTTCAAATATTATTCCTCTGTGGGAGCAGCTCAGACCCCCACATACTGGCGGTGCGCTGTCACTGGGAATCCCCTTTAAATGCAGCCTCTGGCCTTTTTCCCATATTTAACCCAAACTGCAGAAACCAGGATAATAAAAGTGAACATGTTTTTCCAGCAGGTTTCTACATTTTAAGTCAATGTAGGCGTTAATAAACTGTTTCAGAGGAGTGATCATAGCGCTCTGCATCAGCAGTGCTTTGTGTGACTCCCTACCAGCTCCCAGATCAGCTTCTCTGATTGGTTGATGTGGCGCATCGAGCAGCGAAAGTTCAAGTTTTCCAACTCCAGCAGCTGCTGCTGCTTCTGAAACTCATGACACGTTGCTTCAGCTGCTCTAGACGCGCTGCGGGACGTTTTTCTGCGCCTTGATGCACGTCAACTTTGCATGTAAGCTGCTCCTGCTGCCTCTGCTGCTTTAGGCATGAACGTAGCATAAGAGCTGCATTGCAGCCACTTTAACACAGGCTTTTAATATCACAACACTCTAAAGAGGTAAAAGGATAAAGAAGGCCTTTTAAAATTTGTGTATCATTGAAATAGATTGTAAATGCATCAAACCCATCCTGATGTTTTGTTCAGATAAACAAAATGGCTCCAATGACATGACAAACAGGAAATACGCATAGTGTAGAGTGGATGTAGAACTGACCAATCAGAGGCCTCCTGTCTGCGGTCACCTACTATTTGGGAGAGGTGCAGAAGAGTGTCTGCAGAAGGGGCGGGGTCATATCTGCGTTAAGTGCGACACACGCACCTGGTTTCTGAGCATAAATCAGCCTTAATTCTGTCCTCTTCTGCTCCTCCGTCTCCATTGCACTGCTGCTACTTTTTTCTTCTTTGTGTTTTTTTTTTTATTTTTTTTGATGGATGCAACAACTAAGTGTTCATTTATATCACCAGTTGTCATGTAGTGTGAACTAAATGGCTGAATTATATGCATTTTTCTTTCCTTGTTTTTGTAAAACTCTCTATGAAACACCGTGTTTCTTCCTCCCAGCTATCCTATCTCTCTGTGCTGCCCAACTATTGTAGGTATTCAGAATCTTTAGCCGGATGACATGAGTTATGCAAATTAGGTGATGACATCATCTAGCGCCTGATAGGACAGCCAATAGCGACTTTCCTTGCTGTGGAGTTGGTGACAGTGGGTATATGGGCAGGCTGACCTCCTGTGGGTTAGCGTTGAATGTCAGGCTGCCCTCGTCTAGCTGCAGGTAGAGTCTTCGATATGAGAAGCCAGCAGGTAGCCTCTTGTTGTATATAGAGCAGTGTCCCCATGTGGACTTACACAGCCTGACGGGATTATAAAACAAAAAGACATGAAAAACACGACATAAGTTCAGGATAAAAAGCGTAACCTGATTGGGAACAGGCTGCGTACCCCTGCCACAGATATTCATCATGTCCCAGGTCCTGCCACACACAACCAGCCAGACACAGATCAGTAGCATTCAGGTAGGAGAGGATGGTGATGCCCAGCTCAGGAGGGAGCATTTCCAGGTCTATGAACCCGCGCTGCTCTTTACCTACAGACAATAAAACACGTATGGAGACATTCAAAAAATATGCCTTCGCATCATCAACCAGGAGGGATTGCTGTGAGTTTTAGGGGGAGACTGCTTCATTTTTGTATTGATCCTGTTAAACAGATGCATAGTAGAGGAAAAAACAAAATAACTTTATTAAAAATATCCAATGAAATGATGCATCTGGATCAGCAGGGAACAATGTTGGCACTCCCCCTAGTGGCAGCCAGGCAGGTGTGCAGGCAGTCAAGCCACTGCTGTATGCGAATACAGGATTATTTTAGAGGGTTTGTTTTTATAGCATTTCAGATATTTGATCCAATCAGGGTCCATGGTGCTGGTCAGAACTGGGAACACTGAAAAAAACACACTGCAAAAAAGGTAATCTAAATAAGTAAATTTTACTTTAAAAAAGTGATTTTTTTTTCTTGAATTAAGTAGGAGAGTGAGACGCTTTGCCAATGAAACAAGACAATTTACATTTAATATAACAAAAAAAAGGTACATATTTCAAATGTCTATTATCTAATTATCTTACTTTAAGAATAAAAAATACTCATTCCATTGGAAAATCATCTTTTTTACCTACTTAAAATAAAGGTAAATGCACTTAATATAAGATTTTTTTTACTAATTTCTAGATAATTTTTGCAGTGAAGGGGAGCAGCCAATCAGGTTTTCGTGCCCCTTTTGTTTAAATTTGCATTTTCTTATTCTCCAGCTTTTTCTCTGCCTCAAGCTTATTTTCCGAACATACGGCTTTACGATCAACGGGAAGCAGTTCTGCACAAACACGCGGAAAAAGTTAGATCTGATATATCTGAGGAATTTGTTTGTACAAACGTTTTTTTTTAAATGCCACAATAATCACATTTAATGAAATTTAATGCCAATTGAGGCCTTAATTTAAAAAAAATAATATAATGACTTTTAATGATTTTTAATGACCCGTGGAAACCCTGACGAATTTGAAATACGCATTTCAAATACTTATTGTATTAGAAATACTGCCCCTCCCAGCCTGTTGCTGGATTCAGCGTGCTCTCTGCCCTGCTGCTAATGCTGGGTTTCCTTCTGCAGGTGTGACGTCCGCTACGGACAACGAGACCTGAGGTCCGTGTTGGGTTTAAATAGTTGAAGATGACCTTTGTTCTTATTCTGGCTTTTTCATGACCATCAATAAACGCCTCGTTTCTCACTGTGTGAAATCTCTGTCTGACACAGCAGGACAACTGGACGGCTCTAAAGATACATTTAATTAAACATCCTGCTGTGACAGAGCGATCAGGTCTGCTCTGGCGTAGATAAGGACGCAGCCTGTTGAATGTGACGTTTAGCCAATCAGAAATAAACAACTCGCCTGTTCGCTCCGACTCCCCTCCTCTTTTCTCAAAGGAAAAGTCCGCTCATATTCAGAATTCAAACTTCTGGAAGTGCTTTAAATAGGAAATTATTACTGTTCAAAAAAGTGTTTTTAATTAAGAGTAATTTTCATTTGAATGTGCTTTACTGGAGGCATCCATGTTTGTCAAAGAACACTACTGCCACCAACTGGTTAGTGACGTCACGGTGCGGTATCGGCTGTTGATCAAGTCCCAGTGCTGTATCTGGTGTTTGTCACAACGCGCTATTATCCAAGTCATCTTGAAAACATTCTTCTTCCAAATGTTGGCTACATATTACGGGTTTTTTCTCTGGCCAGAAGTTCGATGGCAAATCCTCCCTCTTCAAGTTGGCGATCCAACGACCAACCCGTCCGTGGAGGGTCAGGAATCAGAAAGGTGAAATAAACGTACTTTTTTCCACTTTTTTCTGATGTACTCCATCATCCAGCTGCCATGCACGTGGGCATTGTCAGTTTCACTATAGCTCTGGTGAATTTCAATGGTGAAGTCCTCTGGAAATCTTCAATAATTGTTGTTGATTGCAGATGTGTCTAGTAGTTCCCATTGATTTAGCTTGTAAAGCGGGGAGAATGGCGCTAGGCTAACCGCACCGTGACGTCACTGCTGGAAGATGGCAGGTGGGAGGGGCTACTATATTTGGGCAAAAATGGCCGCTCCCAGACTCAAGGATCGCGATGAAAATAGTTTTTATTTTTTTACTGATTAACTCTAAATTCATTAGATCACCACAGACGTATTAGTTTTAGGTATAAATAATGATCCATTTATTATTCCTTTGCTGACCAGACTTTCCCTTTAATATAATGTTTTTCTCCATCAAAATAAAACCTAAAAAAAAAAGAAATCGCCTTTGCTTCTTTATCGTCGGCCATGTTTATTTACTCTGATGTTTGATCTCCAGAGATGTGGTGAGATTTCTGGTCTGACCCCTGCATATACTCTGTTCATAGGTGATGTGTTATGGTCAAACGCTGCAGGCCTAAATCCGTCTGATCTCAGATTTCTCTCTCATCGTCAGGTTCATGGTCTCTCTCTTAGGTTTTAAAAAGTTCTCCATCTTGCCGTGTGAATCAAAGTTTAGAGGCAGTTGTGTGCTTGATGTTTTTTTTTTTTTTACCTCTGCGCGTCTTTAGCAGATGATAGATGTCTGGGCTGTAACAGTGCTGCGGATGTCTTCTCTGGCCGCCGCCGCCATTTCTCCCTAATGGAAAAAAAGGAAAACATTGAGGAAATACTTTAAATGGCTGCAGGACAACTTCAATAGCTTTAGAAAATGAAGGAAAAGATTTGATCCTTTTTCATCAACTTTAACCTTTTCAACAAAACAAAGTGTCTTGATACAAATCATGATAAAATGATGAAATAGTTTAGACCAGTGGTTTCCAAACTTTCTTCGTTAAGCTCCTCTTCATAGTTTTCAGGCCACTTCAATCTTCAAAAATCTATTATTTCACATTTAGTGTTTTATTTTACTTAGTAACAGAATCCAACACTGCTATCATTAAATAAAACATCTCAAAATGGGTCATTAAGTAAATAATTTCTAACATGCACATGCAATTACACTGCACAACCACTAGGAGGAGCGCCTCCAGCTGAGGTACAACTGGTCTAAACAAAATGAAGGTTTATATAAAAATCCCTTAAAAAGTATAGTGGAGGTTTTTTACAAAGTTTTTAAAAGACCTGTCAACTTAAAAAAAATGCAAATGCACCCAGTCCTGATAGAGAACACCTATTTCTCTTCGTGCACACTGTTTAAAAGTTTACTTAAATTGCAAAAGAAGATTTGCAATTTTTCCACTATGTCAGACTGAACACGTGTGATGCTGAGAATTACCTCTCCTCTCGCACATTGATGAGAAAACAGATTGAAATATGAATGAAAAGGGAACTTTAAATATATTCTTAATGTTTTGTCAGAAATGATATAGAATGATGTTGATAGAAAAAGCAGGAAATGCCATCAGACACTGACTGCAGCACATCGACTAAAAAGTTTCTATATAAAAAATTAAAATCTGTCCACCAAAGCTCTCAATTTAGGGCATCCATGTTTTAGGTCGTAGGGAAACCATATTTAAATGTCAAATCATTCTGGCTTAAACATGTATATAAATCTACTCTTTATCAGATCATATTGTCCCAAAATTTAGAACATTTCTATAAAAAAGAAAAAAAAATCCTGTCTTAAAATCTGTGTTTTTTCCCCCGTTATCTTCTGCAGGCCAGTTAGTTCTACGTCAGCCTGAACACCTAAATTCAGCCAATCATATATCAACGGTCAACTGTCAATCACATTTTTTCGGTCATAGCATCTTGATTCATATGTAGCAGCTAATATACGCAACGGTTGAAATCAGAATCC